TGCCAGTGGTAGAGACACAGAGATTAGTCTGGCCAGTGGACTACTGTTTGTCAGTGGCCGGTCCAGCCCTCACTCCCTGACCTGGACTTAATACAGATATTGGGGGCTGCTCTGATCTCTCCTCAGTGCAGGTCATTTCACTTAAGCATGGCGTTCACTGGAGCGTATTTTGGAAAATCCAGGTTTTTCAGTCTGTTTTTCTACATCTATTTCTCATTGTCCCAAGTGTGGAGAGAAGCGTTAAGTTTTCCCTCCCTAGACGTCCCTTCCTCACCCCCTGCTGCTCTGCCTGTATGAACAGTGGAAGGTCATTGTTTCAGTGTAACAGAGAGCAGAGAAGAAGGGGCCTGTTATCTCACACTGAAAGCAACAACACTTTGACTGACAATGTGACCAGAAATAGAGGGAGGAAGAGGAGGAGGGGAGGAGGAGACGGGAGCCTTGATCGTAGAGGAGCCGTTAGCTTACTATCGGACTTCAGTGAAGGAAAGTAGGCCACAATATCTGCTCAGCGAAAGGTGTGACAGCTTCAGAGAGAAAGCGCAGCGCATAACACACACACACACACACACACGAACACACACACACACGCACGCACGCAAACACGTGCACACAGGGCTGCTAAATACAGGCAGGCAAATGAGTTCCACAGCAGCTATTACATAAGCAGCAACGCCTCACTTAAAATGTGCCAGCTTTGATTTATAATTCACTTCCACTCGTCTGAGAAAATATCTGACAAGGCAAAGAAGCACATGTGCACACATATTCAGACGCTCTGTCCGTGTCGCTGTAAGCTGTAGAAAGATGGAGGGAGGGAGGGACAGACTGGAGTGGAAAACACACTCAGCAAACTGTACAGGGGCCAGGCCCGACGTCCAATCTCTCGCTGTCCCTCCTCCTGTGTTTGTGTCTCCGTCTCAGTCTCAGAGTTCCGCAATGCTTCTCAAGTCGATGCTTTACATAAATACCTGGCACCACATTCAGCTCGACGGGATTACTGGAAAACATCGAAGCCCAAATAAGGAGTCAAATCAAAAGGTGAAACCTGTTTTGAATCCTCTGATGTATATTTTTGTTTCCTATGAGGTACAAGAGACCTTCTGAGAGAGAGAACGAGAGAGAGCGAGAGATATGATGACTTGTTTGTTGGTCCAGCTTGGGCCATAAGGAAAGAAGTGGAAAGGGATAGGAAACCAGGGGAGAAAGGTCTCACTCCCTTTTTATTTGGAGCTTCTTAATGCTGTACGTATATACATATACAACCACACAGGAAGCATGAGTCAACACAGCTGGAAAGCGTTACGAATGTAACCTGCAACACGTGACACACATTTAGTCCATTTGTTTTGTTCAGAGCAGATGAGGCAACACATCTCCTCGGGCCTCCACGTCCCCCGCTCCTCTCGAGTTGAACTTTACGGCGAAGTTTGCGTCTCGTCCCCTGCTCAATTACTGCCACTGTTTGTGGAGCAGATCGTCACTCCTTCAAAACCCCAGTTGGTGTAATGACAGTCTTCTCCAAAATGAAACCCCATCATGACACGGTCAAACAGAAAGACACTACAAAGAGTTGAGTGAATGGATGCCCCTCTAACCGTCCTGGCTATAAACATCTCTCATGGGCCATAACAAACTTGATGAGACTTTACAATATGTGGTCCAGTTTTGTAATTACACGCGTAGATGGAAGGAAAACAACTGCAGCCCGTTTCTACCAAAGTGCTTCATCATCAAAATAAACCAAGATTCCCTTTGACTCTTCTGGATATAAACATATTTTGTATCGGCCACACGTCTGAGATGAAGGCTATTTGTCTGCTCTGGTATCTTATCTTATCTTGAATGTGTGTGTGTGTGTGTGTGTGTGTGCAGACAGATTGATCCTCTTCCTCCTCCAGTCCAACCGTCCACAGGGTGCGACAGCTTTTTGAAAGGCTCAAATTTCGAATCAATACCCCAGCAGTCCGTAATGAGCAGATTACGGGGTCGGGATTAGAGGTCCGGGGCTCCACCAAAAACTTGTCATCCCACCTCAACAAATCCAAGCTGGCTGCTCAGCCTGTCAGTAAAAACGTATCCAGGGTCATTCTAACAACTTTGAAAAGTCATTTCAAGCTAACCGCGGCCTCTCTGGCAAAAGGACAGGAACCCAAATTTTCCAGGAATTATTATTTGACCGGTTCCATCTCAGCTTAACCAGATTTTAGAAGAGGACAACTTTTTGGCCTTTTCTGACATTCCGAAACTAGTTTCCAGTCCTGTGACTGGTCTCAAACTCTTTTTTCCGTCACAAAACTCCAAATATTTTCACAACCGACACCCTCCTAAGTGGCTTCTCACTGACTCAAGGTGCCTATGAATACAAAGTTTCCAAAGTGGGACAAAGGGCAGGGTACTTTTAGGACGCAAACCCCCATTGTGCGGACACATGCACCAGCACACACTCGGCTCCACACTCACCCCAGAGAGAGCTCTGCATCGTCGCCTCCACTTGTCTCCGTCCCTCTTGGAAAAACAATATGAAAGTATAAATCCCCTGCAGTCTCTGTCGGACCGGGTCGTCCCCGTCTCTCCTTCGTTCCACCCGTCGTCTACCTCTTCTCTTCAACACTCCGGCTTCCTGCAGCGTGCCAGGAACTCATATCCTGACACAAGGACTTTCAAATGGAAGCCCTCCTTATTTTCCCTTCCTGTCCTCCTCCTCCTCCTCCCTCCTCCTCACTTCACTCCACTGTTCCTCTTCTCGGCTTTCCTTCCCTGCTGTCTGCCTTAGCGCCGCCCCCCCCCCCTCCTCATTCCTCCCTCCCTTCTCTCCCTTTTGTCCGCCAGCCCCCTGCCTCTAGTTCCCCTCTTTTAACACACACACACACACACACACACACACACACACACACACACACACACACACACACACACACACACACACACACACACACACACACACACACACACACTACTCTCCTCTGCCTCTCTCCTCCCCTTTCTCTTTTCACCCTGAGCTTCATCCATCCCCTTCTTTTTCACACATTCTGCATCGACACAATGCTGCGTCGGATTGAATTTTTTTTGAAAAACATTTTGATCCACTCTGTTTGGTCGATTATTGTGCAACCTCAATAACCCACAGAGGTATCCAGGGGAAGACGTCCTACCCGCCCGATTGTTCATCATCTACCCTTTGGCTACATGGCAGTGCAATTATAAAACAGCATTGACTACATTCAGGACCGCAGCCACTAGGAAGGGAGGGGGGTCAATTCTCCCAAACGGGGTGAGTTACGTAACGTTCCTGCTCATCCTGTGCCGGCACACTCCACACACTCACAGAGACAACCAGCAGGTAGCCGGAGGAGTGGAGAGGGATTCAAAAGGTTTCGAGATGATTTAAATGTTGGATTAATCTCTTGATTACACATTATTCTACATTTGTGGCATGTGGCAGCATCAGAGGAAGCCACGTTGTGACCGGTTGTTGTTATGTTGTGACCGGTTGTCAGTTCAAACAAAGAGGTACAATTATATGATTTCATGAGGGAACAAAAGACGTGACATAAACAACAAAACACAATTGGCCAATACTTTGCAAATACCTCAGTACAGTAATGACCTCAGTACTTTGTGTTTCATACTACTACTTAACTAAGATGTTAAGATGGTAGACATACATAAGGAACAAACAAATCACATCGACTGCTGGACAGCTAGCGAGTACTGAGCAATGCTATGTGTGTGTGTGTGTGTGTCTGTTTGTCTTCTCCCTCTCTTTTTTGCATTGCCCTGTACCTCCCTCTGGCTCCCACAGTAGAAAGTGAGGAGAAAGTTTGCTTCTGCTCTCTGACTTGGCACTTTACTGCCATTAACGCGGCCCACGTTTCTGTGCTGAAAAGAACAACACCAGAAAGCTTTTGAGTCTATTATATATGTGTGTGTTGCAGTGTGTGTTGTGCGTGATTTTGTCGGTGAGAGTCAGCGGGAGTTCCTATTTTAGCTTAAAACTATAACAGAGAACTGAAAGAGGTTAAAAGGCATCTTCGCAGGCTCTTATAAGGCAACATACAAATATGGATTCCTGCAGCTTTAACTCATATCAAACACGCAACACCTAAAAATAAGACACAAAGTGGGGGTCCTGTGTGTGTTTGAAAGTGACCTCGCAGGCAGTGGGCATCGTCGCGGGACGACTAATGAAGGAAGGGGACAGCTGGGCCGGGACAGGCTGAGCTTCACCGGAGGAGAACAGACAGGAGATCTGTAATGGAGACAGTGGAAAGGAGAGAGGCAGACAGCTGCTGCAGCTGTGGGGAGCGCACGCTATTACCACCCGGCATTTCTCACCAGCACTGCCCTTCACTGTTTGTCCAACACAAACCAAACAAGGGGCTGTAGTTAACACTGTCCAACACTGATTGACACAAATATAGCTCGCGGGGAGGCAGCGTGGAGAGCGTGGAAGCAGTAAACGGACTGACACACCTCTGACTTCTTGGAGGGATTGCTGTCACCCGGCTGCTGCTGCAGGGGACAAATTCCTGACTCCTCATCTCCTCCTCCTCCTCCTCTAAACACCCCCACCCCCCATCCCCCTCTTGTGTCGCACTCTCAAACTGTCATCCATCTGCGAACCCGATCCCTAACCGGACACTTCAAAGACTGAGGCCAAGACCCCAATTTCCATAAATGCGTGTGCATGTACGCGTGTTCTTGTGTGTGTGTGTGTGTGTGTGTGTGTGTGTGTGTGTGTGTGTGTGTGTGTGTGTGTGACAAAGTGACCACAGCGGTTCACTCAAAACTGATTCCACACAAAGAAGACAGACCACCGATCAATGTCCCCGCTGACCAGGAAGAAAAAAGAACAAGACCGAAAGGGAGGCAGAGAGAGAACAAGAGGCCGATGGAGGAGCGCGGGACGCGTCAGTCAGCAAACGCCAAAGGTCAACGTTGTCAGAGACGGGTGGCGTCGGCGGAGGGTGTTTTTCTGTTTTTGTCTGGTTCTTTACCTCAGGGTGTCTCCCAGTGTGCTGAAGGTCTGGGGGAAACAGGGAAGCGGCAGAGAGCTCTCATCCCGGGACTCGGCTCCTCTCCGAAGCCTCCTGCAATCAGGGCTGAAGGGAAATAACACAGGGCGTTAATACCGACCTGTTGACTCAAATTACACTTCCGTTTGGAGCATGGACAGTTTAATAAACCTGCAATGCTTTTGTGTTATAGAGCAATATCGTCAATCATTTGTAGTTTTGTTTGTGTGCGACTTAAGACAGTTCACCCAATATTCCCTCAACATTATGAGAACATTACGCCCCCACTGGCCGAACTTTGTAGAACCGGCCCATGACCACACTATGACAAGTACAATGCAAAATGCCAAGCATGTAATGATGACCTAAGCTCTAATATCAAAATGGTAAATTGGTCAAAAAAAAAAAAAAAACTTCTTCTCAGGTTTGTCTCTTTCCTCCCTTCCCACCACTTCTCCACTCCCCACACACGCAGCCAATGAGATAATCAGCCGGCTTGGTACATTCTGATAAGTGATCTGATACGACTATTGATTTTGGCCTTGTGTCCGGTGCAGAGGTCAGTCCTAAGCCTCTCAGCTGCTTTTAGGAGCCACGAACAGATGCTGACGAGGCTCTTTCACAGCTATTGTCATAAACAGACGGAGGACAAATACAAACATGGACAGTCACACAAAAATCATTGCTAAAACTGCTATAGTTGTCTTTTTGCTGCATAGAAAATCTGATATTTAGGTTAAACTTTGATCAACAATGGATGAAAACATCAAATAGCTTCCACAGGAATGGGAAGGAAGGAATTGGCGGATTTGGGACTCCTCCCATTAGATAATTATTGTGTGTCAGCTATTTGAGGTCTGATTTAATGGCCACGTGTCCTGCACTCGTTATCGGAAACTACGGCGGGACAAAGCCTGATCATCTGCAGCTGATGGGGGTAAAGACATCCCGTCTGTCCTAACAGGGAACCCCAGGAGGAGAGATGGTCACGGTCTTCTCTTGGGGACACAGGGATGAGTTGGGGCTAAAATTGGTGAAATAACGGGGGGGGGGTGTATTCTGATGTACCACCACAACCTTTTAGGTTGGTCATCTTTCTAGGTAATGTATATACAAACTTCATGAGTATAAGATATGACTGGTTGAAAAGTGAGAAATATGTTTATTTTCTTTTAGATTTCATTACAGTAAAGAACTGGAGGAGTCGACTAATAGAAAGAAGGAAAATCAAAGGCACTTTTGCATTGTCTCTTCAAATTTCTGCCTGGTATTTTGTCATCAACTTAAATATTGGATCATAACCACAAATCAACCAAACCAAAGTCACCAGGATCCATCCTGTCAAATCGAACGGCATTCCTTTGCATGCTTGTTGAGATGTTTCAGTGTGGATCAAAGTACTGGACTCAACTGGACGCTCACCAGGCTAAAGGGTCCAAACTAGAAAAAGGCTTATAGAAACACACACACACATACACTGAACTATATGTATACACACACACACACACACACACACACACACACATGTACAGTACATGCACACACCCACAGATCTGAGCCATCTTATAATTTTCATAAAACCATAAGACTTTGAGGCTATAAGACTTGACCTATGAAGCTCTAATAATCTCTGCAGGGCAGTTCTCTAATCGGGAGATCACCTCTCGCCCCTGTGTGATGGGCTGGTGATGTACGTACACCCACATGCAGATTAGACAGAGATTATTATTCCTATAGGTCCCTGGTAGATTAATTGGTTGCTATAGTAGCATATGTCCTCACTGCAGGGACCACAGTTAATGGAAGTACAATGGCATTATGCGTCAGTATATTTGGGGCGGTTGGGAGAGACAGAACAAGCAGATGTAGGAAAAGCATTTTCAACAATTTTATAGTTCAAAGTATTAATCAATGACCAAGCACCAGATAAGATTAAACTAAAAACGATGGGAAGTTGCAGGCTGCACCAGAGAGATATGTAGGCAATATCTCTGTATCCCAGTGTTTTGCCACATTGTAAATGTCCAGGTATGTCAGTTTAAACAGCAATGTTTCTAAACCTGGCCTGAGCTAATAGAATAGTGAAACACACCCAGGAATAGCATATCAAGGTGTTGCCATTTCTATGCATCCATCCTTCCATTACCCAGACTCTCACGTTGTACTCGGAGCTCGGCACCGCCGCTTGCCGCTGCCGCTTTTTCTTTTTTTTCTAAGACAGTGGAAAGCTGCTTTTGTTGCCATAATATGCCCTGTGTGATGCTTGGCCCACTTTCCAGCCTGCTTTCATTGTGTAAGCACACATACATAAAAACATGATTTGCTGCTTCAATTTCTGACTTTCATTCAGCTGGGATTTGGTGGCAGACAACATCAGAGCCATGAAAAGCAGAGCGCGACAGCAGCGAAATGCAGTTCTCCCTCCGAACCTCCGGGCGAGGGAGGGGAAGACAGAGAGAGAGAGAGAGAGTTGGCGACGTTACAGAGAACGAGGGTTTAATCACTGACCTTCTACTGTTACAACTGGAGACAAATGACCATGATTAATGAGGCACATTCATCTTATAGGTTACGAAAAAACCCACAATGGCAACTGCACTTGCCTGCTGATGGATCTCTCTGCTGTATAGATTAAACTCCAGGTTGTTAGTTTGCACTTCACTTGTGATCAAGGAGCTCGGGTCAAGCTCGGTGTTGATCCAGTGCAGCTCACTAGAGGGCAGCCTGTCGATGTCTGGCAATATAATCAAGGCTGACGGAAAACCTCAGGGGAGCACTGTTGTTACAACAATTAATAGGAGAAATAAGTATTTGAATACAAAACTAGGTCATCCAGCTTTATTTTAATTCATTTCTTAAATATCTTCATTTTATTGGTGCAGACCTGGAAAATAAGTATGAGACTAGTGGTAGAAGATGTACAATCTTAATCTTAAAGTATTAAAACAAAATGTCAGAGTAAGTCAGTAAAGACGTACTGCATAACATGATTCCACATTAGATTATGCCATTCTTAATACTGCGTCAATTTGTAAGCAGCATTTTTCTGTTGTAGCTGGTTTATCTCGTTTTAAGGCTGATGAAATGATTAACGATGGCTGGAAAGAATATAACAGAAACTTGTTTTAGTTTAATTGTGTAGTTTAATAATGGATCCTTTGATGTCTTTGGGCCTGAAACAGTTTTCACAAAGCGAGAATCTGGAATAGAAAATCATTCGAGAAAAAAATGATGCACTATAGGGTGAAAATCTTTAAACATTTTGTTATTTCTTTTCGGCCACAGCTTCACGCAATCAACCTCTTCATTGAAACTACAAACAGCTGGTGACCAATGACGGTCTTCTGTGTGGAATTAGTGACTAGTGGACGGGAGAAGAAAAAGAGCACGGAGAAATCAAAAATGTTAAATAGTTCAGGATGATTTTAATTTTCCTTCTCAGCGATTTAACCACAGCCAAAGCAAAACAAGTTGCCCTTTGAATGTTTCCGCCTTCCACATTTGTTATCAAAATACCTCCGTCTGCGGGATATGAATCATCTCCTTTCATTTGTCTCCTCACATATTCATATATGCCTCCTGTCTTCGGCTCTTTTCCCGTCATGTCAGTGTCTGTGCACAGATCCCCGGGGATGGAACCTGGTGTGCATGGGAAAGTCACTATGAGGCGGTGTGTCCGCTAGAGAGCGGAGATCTGCACATGTTCCATGGAAACACCCTGAAGCATCCGGCAGCATCTGGCTGCACTTTAATTGTGCATGGACCTTAAATACAGAGGATTCATGCTGTCACGCGTATTGACTGTACTGTACCTTGTACTATATACTAATACTCCATCACACACCAAATACTAGTTACTGTGGGTACAAATAAGTATTATCAGCTAAATGTACCTAAAATATGAAAACTAAAAGTACTTATTATGCAAAATTCTGTATTATAAAATGTTTTATGAATGCTCCATTCATTTTTGAGGAGCACTGACGTTCTGCTAATTTGCATCCTTTTGTTTTTATTTTTATTCTTCCGTTCTGCCGCTACAATATGTGTGTGTGTGTGTACAATAAGCGAGTCGTAACGCTCACTATTGTCCGTCTCTTGGTCTGCAGCCGTGCAGGCGCCTGCACGGCTGCACATATTGTGAATGACTGCGTTATTGGAGCAGTGGGATCCGGGGGCACAAGCATCCGAAACAAACGAGGTCCTGTGCAACCACGAGACCGTTCCATGAATCAGACAGGAACTTTTACAGTAGCTGGTCGGTCCTCTCGCTCTAACAACTTGCTATGTAACGTTTCCCCAGGTGGGTTGATTAAATCAATTTAGCTGTAGCTATGTTTCCATAAATAAAAAAATGAACAAACAATCAATGGCTAGTGGAAAGAGATTGTGTTATTGACGTAATTTAACTAAATTAAAGCAGCCGGTCCAATAGCACTGACAAGTCATCAGGGAAGCCCACATGCTCGATGTCTTTATCTCCCTGCAACACGTACCTGCATGTTGGATTGTAGCTGCCTGTATGAGCCAGGACGAAACAACACAGATATGCACGTGTGATCGAAGAACACAAAAGAACGCGTGCACGGTTAATTTATTCCCAAGATTAACAAGTAAGAATCAGGGTTTGTGTTCTCACTCTGCGTTTGATTGTGTGAAGACAAGCTTGTAATGCAGTTTTCACAACGTTCCACAGCATATTTATGATATATTTATAACTATAGCACTTGAGCGCCTCACACACACACACACACACACACACACACAGTCAAATCTGTCAGTGTGTAATTTTCTTTTACTCAGTGGCAAAGGTCAACGTGTACACACATTTTCACAACGGCCTCGGGGTATAGGCTAGATACCGTGTGTGTGTGTGTGTGTGTGTGTGTGTGTGTGTGTGTATAGAGTTAATGAAGACTGACATGAGGACTGACATGGATGCTGAGCTTTGCTGCGCCGGGCCAGGCGATCTAACAGCAGGGATAAACTATATATAGACAATCTCATTTAGCCTCACCCCCCCCCCTTCTCCTTTTTTTCGCCTTCTATCTGCAGACCTTTTATCACGTCCGCTTTGCTTTCTACTT